TAAAATTGTGAGATGAGGAATTCATGCTACAGCACAATACATCACCATTCGATGGTAAGGATGATTGTGGTGATGATCCTTTCTATAATTCTATTAATTTCCTCCTCCTTAGCATTACAGGAAGAAATAAGGGAAATATATTTAAGTGGAAAGGGCTTGGATAATGAAAAATGTTCATCAGCTAAAAAACCATGCAATACAATTAAATATGCACTTGATTTATTAATGAAGATGAATAGTACTAATACATCTAATCTGGCAGTACAATTTAATATTATGGATGACGATGTGATGTGTGTTGGTTTTATTAATAATAATTGGAACATTAAGAGCCTACACATTACTTCCTTGACAACAAGAAAATCCTGTGTAGGCTTTGTTAAATATTATGATATTGTTCCTCTTAAATTTTCAAATTTGAATTTACGGTTGAACCTGGATTTTGATGGTCAAATTGAAATTCAGAATTGTGTTTTTGAAGAATTATTTATGTTAATGAAATAAGTGGTAAACTTACGCTTGACAATGTAACTGTGGGAACTCAATCAAAATTAGACTTTCTTAAAACAATTAACTCTTCAACTAGTGAAAACACAATTCTAAACCTTGGTTCAAAGATACATTTTAATCTTGTGAAACAGTTTTACATTGTAATAAGAAATTCGAGATTTAAGGCAGGTTATATGAGTGCTATATTATTGGGGTGGTACCTTACAAATAGAAAATTCCATATTCGAATTTTCTTCTATTTCTTGCCTATTTAACAGTGACCGATCGGACAGTTCCTTCGTTTGAAATAGCCACTTCAGGAGATGCAGAATTGGAAAGGACGGTACTATTTCACATGAACCATTTGCCTCTCGTTGATTTCAATTATTTTTATGGAGCCAATCAAACAGTATTACCTCCTATTGATGTGAATGAGAAAGCCAATAGTGGAGAGGAATTTAATTTTACTCAACTACCAACTGAATTACATCATACCATACTCAAAAATGTTTCTTCGTTGGAAGAACTTTTGGAAATGAGATTGGTAATATTCCAACAAAGTTCCCAATGATGAATATCACTCCTTATATTTATCATCTCTTTCAGTTCTTACTGTAATTATTGTTGAATCAAAGTTTCTTGATTACTCAACCAGCCTAGTTCTACATTGACATTAACAATCAAAACTACCTTTTTTACAACAGAGAGCTTTACAGCTAGTATTTCAGTCCCATTTTCTGTAAATTCATGTCCACCTTGGTATATTTTAATGAGAGAGGATAAGATTATTGAAGGAGATTATGCATATTCTTGCAGATTCAACACTCTTCTCATTGTTCCTTTCATAATTCTTGCCTTCTGTTCAGTTTGTGGTTTCGTTTCTATTATAATTACCGTCTTTTCATGGAGGTTGTGTGGAAAAATTAATTTATGAATGTAAACTAAAGAAGAAATATATTGATTTGAGAGTAAAGATATCAATTCTTATTGGAATTGCTAATGGAATGAGGTATTTACATGGAGGAAAGGATAATTGTGTAATTATACATAGGTGAGTTGATTCAAAACAATTCTATTAATGATCAGAGATTTAAAGCCAGGCAATATTTTACTTTCTAATGATTTAACACCAAAAGTTTGTGATTTTGGATTGTCCAAACTTTCAAACGATAATTCAAAAACCACCAAAACAGGACAAGTTGGTTCTTTGCTATACATGGCTCCAGAAGTTCTATTAGGTAAAAATTATAATGAAAAGTCAGATGTCTATAGCTTTGCCATCATAATGTGGCAATTAATATTTGATGAGAATTGTATATTCCAGTACAATTATGGAACTAATCAAAAGTATTCCACAATCATGCCAACACAGGAAGGTGAAACATTTGCACACATTGCAAATCAGAATTCTCTCCTTCTAGTTCCAAAACTAATATCTGAAGGATTACGTCTACCTCTTCCAAAATTGCCTCTTAATCCCCAATCTCAAATTATGAAAATGTGGATTAGAGAATATTTCATTAAAGATGATTTGAATCAAGCAAAGAGATTAAGCATAATTAGGCAGGAAGATCCTTTTGAAAAGCATTTAACAGTTCTTGATGCATTGTTTTCCATGGTACAATGTTCGTGGTGTGAAGATTTCTATCAAAGGCCTTCCTTTTCAAAACTTGCTGAACAGTTATTAGAAACAAGAAGTATTTAATAGCTGCAAAATTCCATTGAGAGAATATTTTAACAAATACTTTCTAGTCATCCCTACTTGGTATCAACTACTCATTGTAAACCATTTACTGTTTCAAAATGAACCCTTAAATCTTTTTTACAGCGCGCTAAAATCTCCACATTATAAGGCAGAGTAAAAATTTCTAGCCTTAAAAAAAATATAACGACTCGTCATTGTTTCATTCCCTCTCTCTCGTTTTGATGAAGATGCAAAAGATTGAACGCACGCATGCACACTTGTTTGATAGCCATAGGTGGTGTTTAGTGTTGGTATTGATAATGGTGTTGGTGATGGTGAGGGAAAGCTTTGAAAAACATGTCATGTTTTATAACTTGGATAGTATTCATGATGTAGATACACAGGTAATTCCGACGTACTTCTTTGAATTGGGACATTTTAGAGGTTATTTTGAGGTTCATTATCATGATGACTTTGACTGGAGTGGAAATCAAAAGTTTTCTTTCCTTACCAATCCCAAGATGATTAATGTCCCTGCTATTGTTACTCAAAATCAATTGACTTGTCAATATTCCTTATTTTGGGAGTTGAAAAGGAATA